TATATATATATATATATATATATATATAGGGTTCAGCGTACCCGGATTAAAGGAGAATTTAATACGGGATACCCTGCCCACAAAATACAACGCAAATTTCAAGAAAAACAACACGATATGGAACGTTTATAAAAAATAGAACATTGTATATTTATTATCTTGTGAATAGGGTAAAAAAAGATTAATGTTTTAGTTCGTTTAAGCAAAAATGTGATTTTGATAAAAATGTCTGTGTCCGTTGTCTTTTAACAGAGTAGCAGAATAATGTCTTTTGTTTTGTATAGTTGTAAAATGAAAAAGGGGCGAGCAATTTAAGTTAAAAAAAAAAGAGTATGAATGTGGAATAAAGATAAAAGGAAAATGTACTTATGAATTGTTTTGGAGTCAGTTGTAAATTTGTTGTTGTTGTTGCTGTTGTTCCTTCCTACTCCACTTTTCGGGTCGAGTCAGTGATGGAATTTACTGTCAATCTTCTGTGATCTTTTGCGCCCTTCTCTGACTGACTGACTGGCGACTGACTTGAAAACTCTGTATTTATTGTCGACTTTTTTTTCACACTGTTCGTTATCTTTTTTTTGGTTTAGCAAATCGCCTCCTTTCATTGGTCCGAAAATTAATTTCACACCTTATTGTGAAATCTGTTTTTGGTCGTTTTGATCCGATTTTGCGGGTGTGCAAATCTACTTTGTGTTTTTTTAGTCATTTGTTGGAATATAGGATTTGTATCCTATAAACCCCCCTCCAGATTGATAAATATTTAAAATATTTTTCAATATCTAATATATGTTTTAAAATGGACGTAGGCCAGTGTACGTGTCTACCGATCTTGTGGTAATGTTTTTTAGGTGTGTTTGGAGGTGTAGAAAATGTTTCACTTACGTTGGTATTTGTCTCGGCTGTAGAATGTTCCGACGTACTTTCCTTTGTAGGTAAATCCAAGTATGCTGGTTTTAGTCTGTCTATAGAGACAGTGTCTTGCTTGCCTTTTGCTACAATTGTGAAATATTTGGGTTTTCTGTTGACTACTTGGAAAGGTCACGTATAAGTAGGGCAAAGAGGCCTTTAAAGAAAGAACAGTAAGATATATAATCCGGTGTTCTTATAGATATTTTTATTTTTACAAAATAGTGCTCAATGTAAATTTACAGAGCAAAAATATTATAAATAGATTTATTTAAAATATGTTTTTTTTCGCTACACAGTTCTAACCATGTTTCAAAAATGGAAGCTTTTATTTAAATGGAAGCTTTTATTTAACTACGATTTGAAATATATATTTCAAATCCTAGTTAAATGAAACGTCTTCTAACCTAAACACCTCCAAAAATCTTTAAATATACAAATAGAAAAAAATGCCTTAAAAATTTTTGCCGTTAATAATAAATTTTTAAAAAATCCAGACGACATGCATTCAACGGATGCCAGATTTCATTGAAAAATACATCCCTACCCCCTACCAAAACGTAACTAATAACTGATACATCAAATTACAGACATAATGAACACGAAGACACCCCTTGTCTAGTGGAAGTGTAACCTTGGAAACGTGAATTATGATTTTAGCTGTGTCTTTAAAACCCAGTAATTTTAAAAGTTACTCCAAAATTCGCTTGAGGATGAAATGGAACTTTAATTTAATTACAAAATTAAATTCGTAGCTTTTAGCTTCAATTTTTGAAACATGGTTAGAACTGTGTAGCGACAAAAACCATATTTTAAATAAATCAATTTATAATATATATATATATATATATATATATATATATATATATATATATATATGAAACATATTATATATATATATATCCTTCGCGAGATTATTTACTAACAAACAGTAATTTTAATTTATTTGTAACAAATGAGGACAATTTGAAATCAAAATATATATAAAATATATATATAAAATATTATTATATATATAGTTAAGAAATATATATTATAATATATATATATAATATTCCTCATATACAAAAACAGTTAATGATATAAATGGCGAGAATACATCCTCGCAAACAAATTTATTAAAATTACATTAATCCACGAACATCGAGATGAATGTTGTGATCCCTGTTTTTAATAAATATAAGGTCTTTTTTTGCTAGTACTTTCATCTGTTCATACAGACATCATCAGGCATGGAAATTGATTTGTTTTCTTTAAATACATCCAGGTAATAACGGGACACGAAAGATTACATCTGAATCGAAATATGTTTTTTTTTTAGAAATGTGTTATTGTTAACTGTAAGTAAATTCTGGGGCGTGCGGTCGCAACGCTAAGGTTGTATTTTTTGAAAATTTAAAAGAGAGTGTGTTTTTTTACTAATATGGTAATTGGAGAATTCTTTGGTTGTAGAATTTCTTACAGTTAACAATCACACATTTCTAAAAAACATATTGAACTGACAAATCTTTGGGTCAAGTCACCAGATTAAGTTCAACCGACGCTTTTATCTACTGGGGTAGAGTGTTCTTGTTCCACGTGCCATGCCTTTTCTGGATATCTCAGTTTCAGTTATTTACCTTTAGTAACTCAACTCTCCACGATTTTGTTCATCTCTGCTGTGGCCAGGTATTGAACTGACAAATCTTTGGGTCAAGTCTCCAGATTAAGTTCAACCGACGCTTTTATCTACTGAAGTAGATTGTTCTAGTTCCACATGCCATGCCTTTTCTGGATATCTCAGTTTCAGCTATTTCTCTTTAGTAACTTAACTCTCTAATTTTTGTTTATCCCTGCCGTGGCCAGGTATTGAACTCACAAACTCTTTGGGTCAAGTCACCAGATTAACTTCAACCGACGCTTTTATCTACTGGGTCATAACTTTCTTGTCATTGGTCCACTGAAAATGATTTGAATTTTTTCTTTAAAATTCATTTTTTTCTTTCTTTTTCATTCTTCCTGATATTCTTTTTTTCTTTTCTGGAACGATTTTTTTCTTTTCTCTGTCCTTTGTTTTTTTTTTTTTAAATTTATTCTTATTCATTATCTAATTCATTTCTTCCTACTTATTCCTTTACCTTTTTCTTTCCTTTAACATATTCTCATTGTTCTCATTTTTTCTCTTTTTGTGGCTCCTTTGTTTCTCCTTTCCATATTTTTTAATGCCCAGTGTGAAATCCGCCATAAATTGTAAACATGGAAATAAAATCCCGCTATTAACAAAGCAGGTTTCTGCCTATAAGCAATTCATGCTCGTCGTTCTCAAAATGGAATGGTGACCATTAATTTGTTAATATTGCATCATTTCATTTCTTGCCAAATATCTTTCTTTGAGTCCTCACCTCACTTTATTTTTCATTGGTAATGTTTTATTTATATTTTATTCTTTAGTCTTTATTCTATTTTACATTTTATTTATTTCCCATGTTCAGCAATGTTTCCTTTTGTTTCATTTTTTCTTTCTTTCTTTTCCATGTCCAGCAAACCGTCTCTGTATTTTTCTTTACTTAAATCATTCTTTCTTTCATTCTTTCTTTCTTTCTTTCTTTCTTTCTTTCTTTCTTTCTTTCTTTCTTTCTTTCTTTCTATATAGTCCATCTCTCATTCTTTCCTTCTTTTTCCTTTTTACGCATTTTCTTTACTTATACTTCGTCTTTTGTTTCTCTTTTCTTTCTGTTTTCTATGAAGATTTTCTTTCTTTCGCATATTCAGCAAACTTTTTCTTTTCCTTTTTACAATTTCTTTGCTTAAATCTTTCTTTCTTTCTTTCTTTCTTTCTTTCTTTCTTTCTTTCTACTTAGTTCATCTATCAATCTTCCCTTCTTTTTCCTTTATACAATGTTTTTCTTTATTTATACTCCGTTTTTTTTTCTTTCTTTCTTTTTCGCAGATTTTCTTACTTTCTTTCTATACTTTCTTTCCTATGTTCAGCAACCTTTCCCTTTTTTATTATTTCTTTGCTTAAATCTTTCTTTCTTTTTTCTTTCTTAGTTTCTTTCATTCTTTTCTTTTTTTCAGTCACAAATCTGAAATGGGAATTAAATTTTGCACTTTTTTTTTTATTATTTATCCCCATCTTGAGTGCCATATTCACAACGTTTTTTCGAGGCTATGTGGATAAAGACGTTTTTATTAACTTTTTTCAATTTGGTTTCTTGAGATTTGAGTTTAACGGAAATATTCATCCAGAAAATTTCATCACGTGGAACTAGAGCAATTTCTCCGATGGACGAAATAAATGGTCCAGTTCGAAATTCCAATTCTCAATATGGCTGGATCTTTCTTTATTTGCTATAACAGTCCAAATCTAAATGCATTTTTTTTTTGTTTGTTTTTCTTTTTTCTTTTTTGCTATGGAGATTTTTTTTTCTTTTTTCTTTCTTTCTTAACCATGTTCAGCAATCCCTTTCTTTTCATTTTTATTATTTTTTTTCTTTCTTTTCTTTCTTTCTTTTTTTTTTACAAGTCCATGTTTCATTTTTTCCTTTTTTTTTTTCTTTTATTTTTTCTCCTTTTCTTTTTTCTTTCTTTCTTTCTTCTTTCTTTCTTTTTTTCTTAAGTCCATGTTTAGCAACCCTTTTTTTTCCTTTTATTATTTTTTTTTTCTTTTCTCTTCTTGCTTTATTTCTTAGTCCATCTTTCATTTTTTTCCTTCTTTTTTCTTTCTTTTTTTTCTTTCTTTCTTCCTATATTTCTTAGCCCTACTTTCTTTCCTTCTTTCTTTCTTCCTTTATTTCTTAGTCTATCTTTCTTCTTTTATTTCTTAGTCCATCTTTCTTCCTTTATTTCTTATTTCATCTTTCTTTCTTTCTTATTTCATCTTTCTTTCTTTCCTTCTTTATTTCTTTCTTAGTCCATCTTTCTTTCTTCCTTTATTTCTTAGTCCATATTTCTTTCTTTCTTTCTTTCTTTCTTTTTTCAGATTCTCTATTTCCTTCTTTCTTTTTTCTCTCCCAAGTACTTTTGTTTCTTTGAAGACATTGGGCTTTCTTCTTCCTTTTTTTTCCCTTTCTCTCTTTCCAGAAAAGTATGTTTCTCATAAACTCAACATCCACCATTCAAACGACCAAAGAGCAAGAGAAAGCGTTTTCTTTTGAAATACTGACAACATTTCTCAGCTGAATTCCAACAGACTCGCTGGATAAATAAATTGCACGGATAGACAAACGAAAAAGAAAGATGGCGTTATAGGTGTGTAAGTCGACAGATGAATTGATGCCCACTGAGTTACTTATAGGGTAGATCAGAATATGGATGCACACGAAGCGAAAAGAGAAGCAGGATTCTTCGTCTGACGAGTTTACTTGGTAGAAGAGTAAAGTAATTGATGGTCGGATGGAATGTGTGATAGATAGTCTTGTAAAAAGAGGATTGACGAGTAATGTCTTGCAGGCAGGTGCATTGTGGGATATAGAAATAGATGGATGGATTTGTCAGGCGTTCGTAGCATTTATGAATAGAAGCCAGAATAAAGTGGCTGGCTCAAAAGATGAAGAGAAAAATGGACAATGAAATAAAACACGATAAAAGAAAGAATATAAGATAATTAAAAGCTGAAATCAAAATTTAGAAATAAAGAGAATAAGAAATGCATTCAGGGAAACTGAAAGAAAAGCTCAGTGAGAGATAATTAGATGGAAAGACAAAAAAAGAGAAAGTTGGAAAGAAATAAGAGCCGACATTTTCAAAAAAGAAAGAATGGTAAACAAATAAAGAAAGTGTATGTGAAATATTTAATATCAGAAAGAATACATTTTTAAGAATAAAAAAATACTTAGAATAAGAAAGAAAGCAGTCCAGTATTTTGAAAGAAAGAAAGTGTTGTGGTAAACGCTCCTACAGTAGAATGAACTCTTCCTCCTCTCATAAATACTAACTGCAAGATTTCCTAGAGGTGATTCATGAGCAGCCGGGGGACCACGAGGCGGTGTACTGGTTAGGAAAGCTTGTCTCGCTAGAGCAATTACGACTGGGTAGTAAGTTCGATCCTCACTTGGTGCCCCATACTTTCGTCCTTGTGCCTCATCTAAGCTACGCTTGGAAAATCACTTTTGAGGCTTGCTGGAATCAGTTCCAGCAAGACAGTCGAACTCTGTGCTTTCAGACAGAGAGGAACCCGGACGAAGCTCTGCCGAAGGTCAGAATCTCGTTCGGGCAGGTTGACCAACCCGATTCTATTTTTACAGTTTCTACGGGCATTTTTTAGCCGAGCTCACGGGCTCGGTAAACCGACGTAAAACTTGGCCTTGTGCCACATCTTTCCCTCGTGGGGGGGAGGCAAGTAAATATTGACTTGCTGGAATCTGTTCCAGCAAGACACTCGAACTCTCTACCTTCGGGCAGAGAGGAACCCAGACGATGCTCTGCCGAAGGACAGAGTCTCATTCGGGGAGGTTGACCAACCCGATTCTGTTTTTACAGTTTCTATCGGCATTTTTTGGGAGAACCTACGGGCTCGGAAAACCTACGTAAAACTTGGCCTTGTGCCACATCTTTCCCTCGTGGGTAGGAGTAAATATTGACTCAGGAGCAGCCGAGACGCAGTGTAACCTAACCGTTCCGACATACACCTCTATCTGCTTATTGCTAAACACTCTTGCTTTGTATATATCTGTTATTTCAATACACTTGTTCAACCTACCTTCGTCCTCTGTGTTTTTCTTTCTGGCCCCTAAACAGAAAGAAAGAAAGGAGCTCTAAATTTTGCAAGAAAGTAGGAAAAAGTTCAGTATGATAACGGGAAAAAGAAAGAAAAAGACAATCTAATCTGAAAGAAAAAAAAGGAGGAAAGAGAATGCCATATATTTTCAATGATTACAAATTTCGATTACAAAAGAAAGAAAGAAAGAAAGAAAGGATGAAAGAAACAAAGAAAAAAAAGGAGTTCTGAATTTTGTAAGAAAGTAAAAAAAGTTTCAGTAAGATAAGGTGAGTAGTGAAAAGGAATAAAAACACAATCTAACCTGAAAGAAAGAAAGAAAGAAAGAGGGAAAGAAGGAAGAAAGAAAGAGGGAAAGCCATATATTTTCAATGAATGAAAATGCCGATTGTAAAAAAAAAAAGAAAAGAAAAAGAAAGAAAGGAAAGACCATATAAAAAGAAAGAAAGAAAAGAAAAGAAAGAAAGAGAGAGTCATATAGATGAATGAAAATGTCGATTGTAAAAGAAAGAAAGACGGAAAAAAGGAAAAGAAAGAAAAGCCATATATTTTGAAAAAAGAAAAAAAGAAAAGAAAGAAAAAAAAGAAAAAGAAAGAAAGAGAAAGCCATATTTTCATATATTTTCGATGAATGAAAATGTCGATTGTAAAAGAAAGAAAGACGGAAAGAAGGAAAGAAAGAAAGAGGGAAAGCCATATATTTTGCAAAAGAAAGAAAGAAAGAAAGAAAGAAAGAAAGAGAGAGTCATATATTTTCGATGAATGAAAATGTCGATTGTAAAAGAAAGAAAGACGGAAAGAAGGAAAGAAAGAAAGAGGGAAAGCCATATATTTTGCAAAAGAAAGAAAAAAAAAGAAAGAGAGAGTCATATATTTTAAATGAATGAAAATGTCGATTATAAAAAAAAGAAAAGAAAAGACGGAAGGAAAAGAAAGAAAGAGGGAAAGCCATATATTTTTTCAAAAAAGAAAAAAAAAAAAAAAAGAAATATTTAAAAATGAATGAAAATGTCGATTATAAAAGAAAGAAAAGAGAGTCATATATTTTAAATGAATGAAAATGTCGATTGTAAAAGAAAGAAAGAAAAAAGGGAAAGCCATATATTTTTTGAAAAAAGAAAAAAAAGAAAAAAGAAAAAGAGAGAAAGCCATGTATGCAAAGAAAGATGAATGAAAAAATGTCGATTGATGAATGAAAATGTCGAAAAAAAGAAAGAAAGAAGGAAAAAAAAGAAGGAAAGCCATATATTTTGCAAAAAAAAAAAAAAAGAAAAGAGAGTCATATATTTTAAATGAATGAAAATGTCGATTGTAAAAAAAAAAGAAAGAAAGAGGGAAAGCCATATGTTTTGCAAAAGAAAGAAAGAAAAGAAGAGAGAGAGAGAGTCATATATTTTCGATGAATGAAAATGTCGATTGTAAAAAAAAAGAAAGAAAAGAAAAAAAAAGAAGGAAAGAAAGAAAAGAGGGAAGCCATATATTTTGTAAAAAAAGAAAGAAAAGAAAAAAGCAAAAGAAAGAAAAAAAAGAAAGAGAGAGTCATATATTTTGAATGAATGAAAATGTCGATTATATGTGTTTGCAAAAAAAAAGAAAGAAAGACGGAAAGAAGGAAAGAAAGAAAGAGGGAGAAAAGCCATATATTTTGCAAAAGAAAGAAAAGAAAGAAAGAAAGAGAGAGTCATATATTTTCGATGAATGAATGAATGAAAATGTCGATTTAAAAAAAAAGAAAGAAAAAAGACGGAAAAAGAAGGAAAAGAAAAGAAAGAAAGAAAAGAGGAAAGTCATATATTTTTGAATGAAAAAAAAAAGAAAGAAAGAAAGAAAGGAAATGAAAAAAAAAAAGAAAGAAAGAAAGTCATATATTTTCGATGAATGAAAATGTCGATTTTGTCGATTGTAAAAAAAGAAAGAAAGAGGGAAAAAGATGTTTTGCAAAAAAGAAAGAAGGAAAGAAAGAAAGAGGGAAAGATGAATATATTTTAAAAGAAAAAAAAGTAAGAAGGAAAAAGAAAAAGAAGAGAGTCATATATTTTCGATGAATGAAAGAGTCATATATTTTAAATGAATGAAAATGTCGATTGTAAAAGCAAAAAAAAGAAAAAAGAAAGAGAGGAAAGATGAATATGTTTTTAAAAAAAAAAAGAAGAAAGAAAGAAAGAGAGAGTCATATTTTTTCGAGAAAAATGAAAAATGTCCATTGAAAATGCCGATTGTAAAAAAAAAAAAAGAAAGAAAGGAAAAAGAAAAAAAAGAAAAGGAAAGCCATATATTTTTTTGCAAAAAAGAAAAAAAAGAAAAGAAAAGAAAGAAAGGGATATATTTTTAAATGAATGAAAATGTCGAAAAAAAAAAAAAAAAGAAAGAAAGAGGGAAAGCCATATGTTTTGCAAAAGAAAGAAAGAAAGAAAGAAAGAAAGAGAGAGAGAGTCATATATTTTCGATGAATGAAAATGTCGATTGTAAAAGAAAGAAAGAAAGAAAGAAGGAAAGAAAAAAAGAAGGAAAGCCATATATTTTGCAAAAGAAAGAAAGAGAGAGTCATATATTTTAAATGAATGAAAATGTCGATTGTAAAAGAAAGAAAGAAAGAGGGAAAGCCATATGTTTTGCAAAAGAAAGAATGAAAGAAAGAAAGAGTTGAGTCAAATATTTTAAATGAATGAAAACGGAAAGAATGCCGATTATAAAAGAAAAAGAAAAGACATATAAAGAATGAAAATGTCGAAAAGAAAGAAAAAAAGGGAAAAAATATATTTTGTAAAAGAAAGAAAAGAAAGAAAAGAGAGAGTCATATATTTTCGATGAATGAAAATGTCGATAAAAGAAAAGAAAAGAAAGAAAGAAAAAAAGGAATGTTCGTTGAATAAATTATGATAAAAGAAAAAAAAAGACGGAAAGAAGGAAAGAAAGAAGGGAAAGCCATATATTTTGCAAAAGAAAGAAAGAAAGAAAGAGAGAGTCATATATTTTCGATGAATGAAAATGTCGATTGTAAAAGAAAGAAAGAAAGAAGGAAAAAAAAAAAGAAGGAAGAAAAAAAAGAAAAGGCAAGCCATATATTTTTTGAAAAAAAAAAAAGAAAGAAAGAGAGAGTCATATATTTTAAATGAATGAAAATGTCATATATTGAATGTAAAAAGAAAGAAAAAAGAGGGAAAGCAATATGTTTTGCAAAGAAAGAAAGAAAGACAGAAAGAGAGAGTCATATATTTTCGATGAATGAAAATGTCGATTGTAAAAAAGAAAGAAAGAAGGAAATAAAGAAAATATGTTTTGCAAATTTTGCAAAAGAAAGAAAGAAAGAAAGAAAGAGAGAGTCATATATTTTCGATGAATGAAAATGTCGATTGTAAAAGAAAGAAAGAAAGAAGGAAGAAAAAAAAAAGAAGGAAAGCCATATATTTTGCAAAAGAAAGAAAGAGAGAGTCATATATTTTAAATGAATGAAAATGTCGATTGTAAAAGAAAGAAAGAAAGAGGGAAAGCCATATGTTTTGCAAAAGAAAGAAAGAAAGAAAGAAAGAGAGAGTCATATATTTTCGTTGAATGAAAATGCCGATTGTAAAAGAAAGAAAGACGGAAAGAAGGAAATAAAGAAAGAGGGAAAGCCATATATTTTGCAAAAGAAAGAAAGAAAGAAAGAAAGAGAGAGTCATATATTTTCGATGAATGAAAATGTCGATTGTAAAAGAAAGAAAGAATGAAGGAAAAAAAAAAGAAAGAAAGCCATATTTTTTGCAAAAAAAAGAAAAAGAAAGAAAGAGAGAGAGTCATATATTTTCGATGAATGAAAATGTCGATTATAAAAGAAAAAAAAAAGAAAAGAAAGAGAGAGGAAAGCCATATTTTGCAAAAGAAATGAAAAATGAAGAAAGAAAAAAGAAAGAAAGAAAGAGAGAGTCATATATTTTCGATGAATGAAAATGTCGATTGTAAAAGAAAGAAAGAAAGAGGGAAAGCCATATGTTTTGCAAAAGAAAGAAAGAAAGAAAGAAAGAGAGAGTCATATATTTTCGATGAATGAAAATGTCGATTGTAAAAGAAAGAAAGAAAGAGGGAAAGCCATATGTTTTGCAAAAGAAAGAAAGAAAGAAAGAGAGAGTCATATATTTTCGATGAATGAAAATGTCGATTGTAAAAGAAAAGAAAAGAAAGAAAGAGAAAGGAAAGCCATGTTTTTTTGCAAAAAAAAAGAAAGAAAGAAAGAAAGAAAAAGAGTCATATATTTTCGATGAATGAAAATGTCGATTGTAAAAAAAAAAAAAGAAAGAAAGAAAGGGAAAGCCATATGTTTTGCAAAACAAAGAAAGAAAGAAAGAAAGAGAGAGTCATATATTTTCGATGAATGAAAATGTCGATTGTAAAAGAAAGAAAGAAGGAAAGAAAGAAAGGATATTTAAAGTTTATAAATAATACCATTTTCAACGACTGAAAATATAGAAAATAAAAAATGTAAGAAGATATATAGGAAGAAACGGAGAATGAACGAAAGTAAGAAAATAAAAAAAAATCCAATGTTTTCAATGGATGAAAATCACTTATTTGAGAAGATAGAAAGAGAGAAATAGAGAAAATGAAGAAAGAAAGACTGAAAAAACAAAGAGAAAGATTGCTGCACACAAGAAAGAAAAGTAAAATTAGCAGGATTTATGCAAAGAAATAAATTAATATTATCTAATCTGAAAGAAGAAAAGAAAGAACGAAAAAGAAGTTTATTTTAAAAGAATGAAATATAAAATTTTTGATTACACCGCTTAAAAATAAAAACCGAATCTTGTCCTTCAGTAAGAAAAAGATAACATGAAAATTAATAAAAATAAATTTAAATTGGAAAAGTTAAAAAATCCCAGGTATTAATTATAGATTTCTGTATATATGACCTACAATGCTGACCATCCCATAATGGGCTGATGTTGTACATACCTATATAGTAGACACCCGTTATCTAGCGCGATAATAACAGCGTCGTTTGGTTAAAATTCATTTTTTGGATAGTAAGGCAGAAGGCCAGAGCGATGGAATATGGAAGCCGTGCGCTGCCAAGTCCGGGCCTCTCTTGGCTGCACTGGCAAGATCGACAAGAGTATAACGCAAATATATAAATTGGATATAAGTAGGAAGCAATTTTAAATTTTTACTGATTTTCTTGAGAACGGATGAAATTTTTTTGTTTTTCTTATTTCTTTGTTTCACTCATTAAAACCTTCAAGATAAACAAGTAAGTCTTTGCCGATTTTAAATCGTTCTGTAAGAAAATGATTACTGATACGCAAATGAGTGTGTCACGTGCCGGGAATGAAGTGGGGTAGGGTGGGGGGTTGTTCATTGCTCTTGACCAATACAGGTTCGTTGCGAGCACATATGCGTCATAGCTCGGGGAATGGCGAGAAAAAATGGTGGTTTCGAAGCAGTTCGTTCGGGGTTGCCTGATTTATGACTTTAAGTTTGGGTTGTCCGCAGCCGAACCAAGTCACAGAATATGTGAGTAAACGCACCCTCAGGCATTTGTTCCAGAAATTCGATTCGGGAGATCTGATCTTTTGTGATGAATCTCACAATGGTCGGTATGATGAGGCCCTGAAAGTGGCCTTAGAGGAGAAAAAACATGCTTTGTCTACTTATTTTTAACAAGATCTTCTTATAACTATGTATACGTTTCTTAGTATCCTTATTAAAGAAAGAAAGAAAATTGCCATGTTGATGTACATTCATTTTATTCCGAGTACTTTCGACATTAGGACAATGTCATCATCAGGGTTCCGTTTCTTTCTAAGGCGGAAATTGTCGTCATCATTGTGTTAAAAAATTAAAACCAATGGTTAAAATTAATTACGAATTCTGCAAAAATATTTTAAAATGTTTAC